TGAAAATCATTAATAGGCAATCGTTCGATGGGCTGAATTGCAAAAAACGCATGATCGCACCGGCTAAACTGGTGCGCGTTGCTACTGATTTGTAATTTAACCTAAACATACCATCGATAAGTTTCTGGGCGCCATGATACAATATGTTGATCAATTCGTGCCACTTGTTCTGGTTACCCAGCCGATGATAGACTGTGCGGTAAATCTGGTGTGCTTCGTAGAAATCACCACGCTCAAAGCACTGCTCCAATTTGCGTTCAATTCGAGACATCTGAAGAAAAAAAACGAACAAAAATGACAATTGGAGGGCATCCCAATGTACTGTTTATACGGTGAACAGCACGTGAAATCGATTGGAAATGTACTAGAATTCGGCTCGGCTCGGCTCGGCTCAGCTCACAGATTTTGGGGGCGCCGGGAACTGGGACGGGGAAGAAAAAGGGAAGAGGAGGGGGCGGGGAAGTTGCGACAAATGCGAAAATGACGGGGTAAGATGAGGGGAGAAAAGGACTGAGGGCACTTTTTAGGTCGCATAGGATCATAACAGCGGGGAGGAGGACTGGGATATTGATTGGATGAGAGCTGAGACCTTGCCTGGAGGAACTGAAAGTACGGGTTTTTGTATGTAAACATATATTTATGTGTGTGTGTGTGTGTATGTTTATGTATGTATGTGTGTATGTATGTATATATGTATGTATGTGTGTGTATGTATGTATGTATTTATGTATGTATGTGTGTATTTATGCATGTATGTATGTATGTATGTATGTATGTATGTATGTATGTATGTATGCATGTATATGTGTGTGTAAGCATGTGTTTGTGTGTGTATGTTTATGTATGTATGTATGTATGTGTGTATTGTTTTTTGGGGATTGTCGGTGAGAGGGGGGGAGGGGTTGCAATGAAGCTATTAAGCTTATGCATGCGTTCCAAAACCCCGCCGCAAGAAAAAACCCGATCCTTGAGTATATCTCTGCCTTTCGCAACTCTCACCTAAGTCCACGAACAAATGCATTTTGCATAAATAAGCCGAATTATTAATAGCAGGTCCAAAAGTGTGGAAGGGAAAACTACCGGGTAACAAAAAGCTCGGAATAGTAGAGGGGATTTAACTGTCCTCAAAAAGAACGTTGTACGAAGCAAAAGGGAACAAAAATTTGCTGCCTGGAACAAAACAAACGAAATGGTTGTGCCCTGATTCCCATGTAAAACCTAAAGATTTCAAATTCAGCTATCACGCCGCATGGATCTTCAGGTACAATCTAAAGATTTCAAATTCAGCTACCACGCTGCCTACATCGTCACTTAAAATTTAAAGATTTCAAATTTAGCTATCACGCTGCCTGGGTCCTCACGTACAACTTAAAGATTTCAAATTCCGCTATCACGCCGCATGGATCTTTAGGTACAATCTAAAGATTTCAAATTCAGCTATCACCATGCCTGGACCGTCAGCTACGATCTAAAGATTTCAAATTCAGCTATCACGCTGCCTGGATCCTTACACCAACCTAAAGATTTCAAATTCAGCTGTCACGTATGCTCGCGGTATACGCACACATGCAAGAATTCAGTCCACTAATTCACAGTCTGGTTATCACACTACCAACAGTAACAGCATTGACAGCTGACCTTGACGGGTACATTGTGCACTCATCAAACACACACACACACAGACCCACCTCACCCGTACTGGAACCACAAACCCAACTCTCCAGACGACAAGCAATTACTAAAACTCGGCTCGGCCCCGATCGGCGCCATACACGATTTGCAAAAACTTTTTCCCCGCGATGGCGGGTAACGTTACCCCACTGTGGGTGGCCAATGCTCGATGTGGCGGGTAACGTTACCCCACGGAGAGGGGCGAATGCTCGATGTGGTGGGTGGTGTGCTGCGGGTTTCGTTCGCAGGGGTTCGAGGCAGAAGGAGGGGGTAGATGGGTTTAGTGGCACAGGTTCGTGATGTAAGTCTCTCTTTCAATTGGTTAGGTCATGTACATTTTGTGCGAAGAGACCAATGACGGGTGGAAAGGAAAAGGCTGTGCTGCTGATTTTTGCCAAAGATATCCAGAGCAGGGAAGGGGCTCAATTGTTTGCTTCCAAAATGCACTTACAGTGGAGATGGAGAGGAGCTCAAATGTTGCTCTGTAAGCATGATTTGCAGACAGAGCAGAGAAAAGAAACAAGCATACAAGTCAGGAGCTCGAGTCAAGAACTGGAGACAACAGTAATAAATGGCCAACGCACGGGCTGCCCGTGCGAAGATGCGTTTTTTTTTTGCATAGCGCCCCGCAGATTCTTGTCGCTAACGACACTGGTTTTTCCGGCAGATGCTTCTAGCTGAAAGAATTTCAGACTGGCCGCCAGGACTGTCAGGAAACATCCCTTCAAAATTCCAGTCTCCTAGCTTCTCACGTTCCCGAGTTGGCAACTTACCCGGAAGAAACTTTCACGGGCCCGCGCGTAGGTACCACGCTTACCTGCGAGCAGGGTTTGAACTCGTTAATACCCACTTGGGCAGGGAACATCCCCTAAGATTTCAGCATTCTAGCTTCTCAAATTCCCGAGTTATGAACTTACCCGGAAAAAATTTTGGTGGGCTCTTACGCGGATACCACGCTTACCCGGGGCTGGGCTTGAGCTCACTAACACATACTTAGACGGGAAACATCCCCTTAAAATTTCAGCCCCAAGCACTCCTGGTTCCCGAGTTAGCAGCTTACCCGTAAAAAACATTGCCGGACTCTTACTTGGGTGCCACGTAGGTAATGGCGCCCATTTTGGGGTTTGGGGCCCGTACGTGCATGTAGACTAAGTTCTCAGAATTTCAGCCCTGTAGCTTTTGTAAGTATTGGAAAGTGTAGCATTGCTGCTGGCAAGGTGCAGCGGCAAGAGGAAAGAGGAATGGGACAGTCGACTTTGTTTATTTGATATTGGTGAAGAAGCCAAATTATACAACCTCATTTAAGCTAGCCGGTACTTGCACTGGGTGACATCTGTGTTTCATCCCTGAACTGTAAACACAGACGACTAAAATGGTACGAAATGGGGTGGGAATCAT